TTTTCCTAAATGAATTATCAGAAAATGACAATAGTATGCTTACAATTAAAGTTAATGAAGTCGCAGGATCATGATATTCCATGGAAATAAGATAATTACTCAAATTAATAGAAATATGGAAATAAATCCATTACATTATATTTCTGGTAGCTTGAATCACCCAGTCCGAACATGGCATAGTGCATTCCTTTAAGCCACTCGCAACTCAAATTCCTTTGCAATAAAAACCTCCAAAACGCCTGCAAAATTTAAAATAAATACTAAAATACTTCTAACAAAAAAAATTAAAATCAATACAACTATCACACATAAAATACCAACCTTCATAGAATCCGGAGTTTCGCCTTGTCCTGTGGTTGACACCACAAAAATTACCGTCTCCTCATTCGACAAAGCACTCTGTAACGATACAACAGCACAATCCCCTACTTCAACAATAACATCAGTACGAATTTCTTGCGAAAAAACCCTGTAATTTGAACCAAAAAATAGCAAAAAATCAGAACTGAATTATCAAAATGAAATACAAAGAAGAATTTAACGGAAGAATTGGAGTTCAAATACCACTGCCCAGTTCTGTGGAGGGTGTTCCGGGGATTAGGAGAGGAGGAGAGGAGAGGAGGCGGAGAGGAGAGGAGGCGGAGAGGAGAGGAGAGGAGGCGAGCTAGGTTGAGGAGGAGAATGGGAAATGAAGGGAAATGCAAGGATCGTGTTGTAAGACGCGGGTTGGGCCTCTTTAATTTCGCGGGTTGGGCCTCTTTAATTTTCNGTTGACACCACAAAAATTACCGTCTCCTCATTCGACAAAGCACTCTGTAACGATACAACAGCACAATCCACAGAAATTTATATATAAAAAAATAAAATAAAAAATTCACGCATTTATATAGGTTGGAAAATTGTTAAAAACTAAGATGAACATACGGGCTGAAATTCATCCATGGAGAGTACAGAGACAGCGGGGCAGCCACGGCTCTCGGCTTCACGGCTGAGCCGCTCGGCGACGTCCATTGCATTTCCAGTTTGCGAAGCGTACAGTATTAGCAGCTTATTATTCATCTTTGCTTCGATTTATCGATATTTCTTAGGCCAGGAATTTGAGCTGAGACCGCCAGCACTCGTACTGCAATTGAAGAATGAATAATTTTGAGAATTTTTCGTGAAATTTACAGGCGGCAGTTAATGGACATCTTCCCTTAATGGGATCAAGATTATGGTTTTGTTAGATTTATCAAATACGATTAAGACAATCTAAGGGATAAAGCTGCAAATGTGAACCTAAAAATTGTTACAGTACGCCGAATTGTTCAAAGACGTGGATTTGATAATATAAACATAAATTGTGTGTGAAAAAAACTTACTTTTCAGGATCGAGTTCACAGAATCGCCGTTTCTCTCTCTAAATTATTTCTGCTTCTCGCTCTAGGCTGGCTACTGCAATGAATTTTTTCAGTTGTTAAGAAAAAAAAAATATCGGCTCTCCTTTTTCTTCTTGGGAGAGGCAAAGCTAAGGGCCTGCTGGGGAGTTTTATAATTTTTTAAAGTATTGGTTTTAAACGCCAATGAAACGATTTTGAATTATTTTTTGGGGATTATTAATGCGATCTCCCACCTCCCATTTATAATTGGGAGTTTTTTATTCATCGATTCTGAAAGTTATTTAAATGAATAAAATTTATAGTTTTTTATATGAAATTTTTTTACTCATACGTAATATTTTACTTTAGGTAAAAAAAAAATTCATAGAAGTTAATATTTAACTTAAACAATTAAATTCAATTCAATATTTACTTGAAATTTTAAGCCAGTGTTTTTTACTTATAAGTAAATTTTACAATTATAAGTTCATTTTATAATTTTAAGTAAATTTTTTGTATTTATAAGTAACTTTTTATATTTTATAAATGAATTTTTATCTTATTCTGTGTTTTATTATATAAACAAATCTTTTTAAATAAAAGTAATATTTTACTTATACATATTATTTTAATTATAATGTAATTTTATCGCTTATAAATAATCTTTTAGTTAATACATTTTTATTTTCANTTTAGTTAATACATTTTTATTTACAAGTTAATTTTGAAGAAAATATGTTGTTTGGAAATAATTATTTTATAGAAGATAAAATTAGAATAAAATATAAGAAATTATCAAAACTCATCAATTTGATGGGTTAAGAAAAACGGTAAAAATTAAAGTGGAAATTACACAAAACCATACTTTAAGTATTCAAACTTCTAAAATCAAATTGGAAGTTTGATATTTCAAAAAACAGAATTTTTTTTATATTAATTATTTTAAAAAATCTAGTTAATACATCACAAACCCTAATTAATTTTACTCTCATCTCTTTCTCTACATTCCTCCCCCAACCCTCAAACCCGTTCTCTCTCTACCCCCTCCCCTCTCTTGGCACCGTCGACCCCGCCACCGCCATCGCCACGATCTGAAGCGGCGATTGAAATGCCGTCAACTAACCCTACCTCTCTTTCACCTCATTTTTCCCAAACATGTTCTCTCTCTCGCTGCTCTTCTCTCTTTCGTCGTCGTCACGACGATTTAAGCGGTGATTGGAACAACATCATCTGCCGCCACGACATCTGAAGAGACGACCAACACAAATTGTGGCTGCAACAGCGTATATCGCGATGGTGAAGTTTTTTTGGTTGTAGGATGTGGTTTTCCATATTTTGGTGGTTTTGGGTTGTGGTGGTGATACTATAGTCGTGTTGAGGTACCGAAGGTGATGGTGGCACTGGAAGTGGCGGTGTTGGATTTGGTGTTGGATTTGGCAATCAGGGTTTTGTAGTTTTTGGGATTTTTTTGTTGGTTGTGATGGGCGTTGTGGTGTGCGGTGGGTGTGGCCGGATTTGGTGGCAATCTACACTAGCTAAGATCTGGCCGTGAATTATTTGTGTGGTTGTTGGCGATGGTGGTGGGTCCAATGGCGATGGTGGATCTGGCAGTGGAGGTGAGTTTTGTGGTGGCGGTGATTTTGTTGAAGATCTAGACAACGATGGCATAGGTGGCGATCGACGGTGGTGGTGACAGTTGGTGTTAATGGTGGTTGTGGTGGTGGCGGCGATGTGGTTGGTGGCATGGGTGAGGTGATGGTCACAAGTGTCGATGGTGGTCACACAAAAATCGCATAATGGACTTATTGTGACCTTAAAATTTGACAATTTGTGTCCAATAAATTTGAAAATATGTGACCGATAGATAAATGTGACTTTGTAATTTTTTGATCAGTGACCAGATAAAATAATATGTGGCCTATAAACTTATTGATTTATGACCTCAAAATAATTCGTGACTTACAAAATTTTTGATCTGTAGTCGATAAGAAAATAGTGGCCTATAAAATTTTTGACCTGTAACCATAAAATAAGTCGTGACATAGAATTTGTGATTTGTCACCAAAGAAAAATATGTGACCTGTCAATTTGTGACTGATGAACAAATTGTGAATTTGTGACTGAATTGTGTGTATATATATGTGTGTGTGTGTGTGTGTGTGTGTGTGTGTGTGTGTGTGACTTTAATATATATAAAATATATAATTAATTAATTAAATCATAAATAAATTTTAATAAAAATCTGATTTTTTAAATTCCAAACTTGTTTTCTTAATTTTG